CTATTTTGGATACATTGCCTCCCTGATGAACCCGTTCGATATGAGCCTCTGAACTTCTTCTTTTAATGTAACATACCGCTCCGGATTTAAGGCTCTCCTCTTTTGTCAGTGAGGATTGAATTTAGGGTCTACATTGAGATGGTGGCAACTGAATTTGGGGTCAATCCCCACCATGTCTTCGTGTTTCCAGGTGAAGACGTTTAAGTTGCTAAGCAAAAAGTGTTTGATCCTGCCATTTGTTTCTGGCTCGAGGTCTTTTCCTATCTGTAATGACTTTGTGGGGTCGCTTGGGGTTACGGGGAAGGACTCCAGCTCTTCTGCAGGAGTTGCCTATGAATTTGACTCCACAATCCATGGATCCAGGTCTACCTCGATGACCCCTTCTTCAGGGGTGTCTATCATACTGGTGTCTCCTCCTTGTTCAAGGGTTAGACCTTCTTCAGGTGCATCAGCCATTTCGGTATCTAACATGACCATATTTATGCTTTTGGGCTCAGATTTTCGTAGTGAGCTAAGGTAGCATTCCCTTGAACTCATCTGGTCGCCTCGCATAGTTGCGATTCCTTTTTTGGTGGGAAATTTCATACAGAGGTGATGTATGGACGTCATCACCTCCAATTCCTTCAAGGCAGGTTGCCCCAGGGCTCCGTGGTAAGTAGATCAGTGGTCCACTATCAAGAACTCCATGAAGTGTTGAGCTCTGAACAGGTATTCTCCCATCTCCACTACCAGTGTGATCTTTCCTCTAGGGACGATGCTTTCCCAAGTAAAATCGTACAAATGGGCGGACATTGGGGCAAGCTCGTTGTCCACAGCCATCTTATCGAAAGTGGTTTCGACGAGGTTGTTAACATAGCTTCCATTATCAACTAGCATGTATTTTAAACCATTCCTGGCCACGACAGCTCGCACCACTAGCGCATCGCAGTGGGGATAGTGAACCCCTGCGGTGTCCTCTTGGGAGAAGGGGATCGGTTGGCCGCTTCCAGCATTCCTACTGGCACTACGACGAGGTAATTTGTCAATGGGGGGTCATTTGATTTCCTCACATAGTTCCTTAGAGCTTTTTTGGAACTCTCTCCTATATGTGGGCCGCCAATTATGGTGTCGATCTCCCTGATGGGTGCATTGTCGACAGTGGATGAGGGCTCTCCCCCAGGTCTCTGACCCCTTGCTTTACTCCTCTATTCATCCTCCCTCCGTGGGGACTTACTTCGGCAATTCCTTCTTTCTTGATTGTACCGAGGCTCTTGCTAGATGGATGAGACGTTTGTTTGTTTGCGATAGTTACTTCTATCCGCAATAGGAGCCCTGGCCGGCTTTCCATGGTTTGGCCTGGGGGAACAATTTTCAGTGCTATGGCCATAGGCTCGGTGGTATGTGCAATATGGCCTGTCCCTAGGCTCTTTTCCCCTCCTTCCACTGCCTCTTTCTCTGGGCATATTTGGCTACCTGTGGGTTTCAGGTCCAACCTCTTCATATGCCAGAGAGGGTACGACATTTAGCATAGAAGTTGCCAAAGCTTGTCCTGAGGTGGGGCCATAGTGTGTCCTGCCTGGGTCCACTGTTTGTCCACCAGGTGGGATATAGGGCCTCTTCTTTGTCTCTAAGGTAGTGGGAGACCCATCAATCAATTCTTCGTTGACGATTTCCCTTTGCATCATTTCCACCAGGGCATCGTAGGTGGTGGGGTTCTTATTTCTCACATATCTCGAGAATAGGGTATTCATGTTGAGGCCCCCTCGTAGTGCGGAAATGGCCTCTCTATTAGTGACCTGCTCGCAGTACGTCATTTCATTTGTAAAGCGAGCCAAGTAACTTTTCAAGGTTTCCCCTGCTTGCTGTCTCATGTCCTGTAGTCTTTGGATAGAGGCCTCTCCTTCTTTGCTAGATAGGTATTGGTTCAGAAATGCCTTTTTCAGATTTGGCCAACTTCGAATACTGCTAGCTGGAATGCGACTGTACCAGATTTCAACAGCTCCTGTCAAGGTGAGGGCGGGCGAGGCTCCTTGCAGTAACATTTGAGTCTTGTAGTTATTGAGGTGTTTGGCTGGATCGTCTCCCCCTTCATACTTGGGTGTTCCTCCATGGGCGTGTCTTTGCCATGGTAGCTTGTGGCATAGTTGGTAGATGTGTCAGCTTCTGCTTTCCCTTCCATTAGGTCGTTCATTCCATACATCAGTGGGTATGCTGCTGTATCATTTTCTTCGCCCTCCTGTTGAAAAGTCCTGAGCTGAGGCGCCTAGGATCCAGCTTGTTGTTGCATCTGCATCAGCAGCTATTGCATGGCATCATTTTGTTTGGCCATATTTCTCATGTTTGTGATCATTCCCCCAACTTCTCGCACCAGGCGCGCAGTTGCACCTCCTCTTCTATGGCCATGGTGGGGGCGACATATGTTCACGTTCGTGCGGATGACCTCTTCTTTAACTCATTATGCTCTCTGGATCTCTTTTTCAAGATGGTTCTTTATTCAAGAACCAAAGCCTTTCTTCAAGCCTTTAGGATGTTCGTGGTTATGGTATCAAAGATTTTCACAGACGGCGCCAATCTGTTGACCCCAAAAAATTGTCCTGTGATGTGGCCAACAGAAGATCAATGAACCACTCCTTTAAAGATCGAGTTGCAACACATTGGAATTCGAATATGTGCTAAAATCATGAATCATTGAAGGGAATGATCCATCTTGTTCTTTGTCTTGAGACTATGATAGTTTTGTGTATAAAAAGGGGGTCGGCTATTCTATGTAGCAGGGAAATTCCAAGTTTTCCTCTCAATGTCTAAATTTGCATTGCCCTCTAACGTCTGGAGTCTGGGCTTTTTATATCTTCTCATGAGTGAAGGGAGTCCGTCCAATTGTAAAGGATCCAGGGTCCTTGTTAGAGTCAATCAATCAGTCAAGCCATTAATGCTTAGATTTCCTTATCTTTTTCCCTAACACAGGATTTGACTGCGTGGATGTAGAGACGGCGCTGGCAGGGCATTGTCTTGCCAATCATTTCACTAGATATTTTGTTAGTTGATTTGCCGCCTCGTCAGAGGCGAGCTGACACTTTCGTCAATGGGGCTCGGATGAGAACCATCTGGGGTGGGATCTCCTCGGTATACACAAGGTCGCATGTCCGTTATGCCACCTGTGGGCTCGCCAGCTTGTCATGTGGAATTTATACCAGCCTGTCACGTGGAATTTATATTACGATTATTTATATGAGTAACACGTTATTTCTCAAGTTCATTATATTTTTTTTGTTAGCTTATTGTGTTTTTCTTGACAAGTTGAAGGAAGATCCAACCATGTCATTTCGTTGAATGTCGTCAATACTGATATGTTTGGTATACAATATTGATTAAGATTATATAATAAAAGATAATATTATAATTTTTTTCTTTTCAATAATATATAATATTATTTACAGCACCTTACTAAACATGTTCAAACGAGTTGTTGATAATAACATTCATGCACTCGATAAATGAAAATTGCATTCTTTTAGATCCCAAATTTCAATGGTGTGTTGGGTTTCATAATTCTTCGTGTTTAGCATGTTAATATTCTAACTTGTGATATTGAAATGATAGTTCCTAACACAATTCTAAGCTTTGTTAAAGTTGTTTAACATTGATCCTTTTGTGCTACACACGACACTATGATTGGCATACTCTTATATTGTACTTATGAATTGATTGATCTACTCATTTTTAACTTGTAATTACCCACGAAAAAAGAGAAGAACAAAGGAGACCATGACAAAATTTATATAAATAATGTGTATTGTGTACTATTACACTCGACTGCATATGATAATAATAAAAAATTTGACTTCCTTTTTTTCTTTATTTTTGTTAGTATTATGTGTTGGTAATGGCGTTGCAGCTCATTTGTCATCAAAATCTTAACGTGTGTATCACTTTCTTATAAAAGTGTATCATATCATGTGTTAGTCCCTTGTTATTGGAATAATCCCAGTTTTCGAAATGACGGTTAGGTTCCTAGTCTGGAATGCTTTCGAAGTTGCTAGACCTGTCCTCATTCTAACAGTAAATATTCTTTCATTTTTTCTCAAAACATAACGGGACAAAGCTTTTGATAAAAAATAATGAACAGATTTTAATAAAAGTTATGAAATTTGTAGTTGAAAAGTTGACAAACATTGTGGATTCCATTAAATTTGTGTTAAAAATTAAATTTTGACTAATTTATAAAATTTTATCAAACAAGCTGCTAATAATATGCGCTGAGGGATTACAACAGTTGGAGCCACAGAAGATAACCAAAGTGCTTAAATCCCTCAAATTTGCACAAAATCACAAGAATCAAGCAACAATGTTACCGAGGGTGAGGATAAGTTGTTGATTTCCATAGATGAGTAGACAGGGGCGGACCCGGGTGTTACGGGCAGCAGCTTTACTTAAGCCCCGTGATCCTATCGCAGCCGCAGTTTTCTCAACTTCGACCGCACATTGTAAATATTTCATTTAATTGTAAAATAGTTGGAAATTAGAAAAGTTTTGTATGATT